TAATCTAATTGACTCTTTTCTGTTTTTATTTTTTATGGTGTGTTTTGGGTGAGCTTTGGGTATTCCTAGGGAGGTTTTTCCAACCAACATGTAGTGGTCACTACCTACCTCAGCTCCTCTTCTAATCCTGACGTCCGTGATTTCATTTCTGCATTCTTTATTTACAATGATATAGTCAATTATCGATTTTTCATTCCAACTAATTACTTCTCTAGTGTATTTATGAATATCTTTGTGGCTAAAAAACGTGTTTATCACTGGCAGGTCATTCTGGATGCAAAAGTCAATAATTCTCAGACCGTTATTATTTCTGTTGTTTTCTCCCTATGACTTCCCCCTTCTTAATTACGACTCTCCCATTCAAATCTCCCATAATGATAATTTTTCCCTTAAAGCTTTTTACTATTTCAGTTACCTCCTCCCAAAATTTGTCTTTAACTTCGTTGGGTCCATATAGTATTAATACATTTATTATGTTGTTTGCGGCAGGTGTCAGTTCGATTTTTAGGATTCTTTCTGATATCTAAAATATCTACCCACTAATTTAAGACCATTGAAGGTGGGGGAGCCGATTGTGTTATCACAACTGCGGAGTACGTATGTATTTAAGTATGCCGCGTCCATAGATACCACGCATATTTCACAGAACAAGTGTTTGGTAGGGTTGGCATCTGAAAAAATCTTACCATTTTCGGTTGCTATGCTGTTTTTTGAAACCCCTCAGTCCACTTCGAAGAGTCTGTGATTAAAAATATTTTTTTAAATACAGGTTGTTTCACCACCTGCAAACAAGACTTTAGATTGGTATGCAAAATAATCTGTGTGTATTCCATTCCTTCGTGATATTTATTAATATTTAATTAACGTACATATTTTTTATTGTTTTCCTTGTTAGTGCCAAATGACAATTATAAGAATTTTCGAACTCCTGCCTTATAAAAATACTATCGCCGTGAGGTGCATAAATTGAAATTACAATTATTAATTTGGAACTAATAACGCCCTGTCTTTGAACTAACAACCATTCGTTTTAATGAACCTCATATTATTGCAGGAAGTCAAGACGTCTTATTTATGAATAAAATAAATAATTATAACAATAATAAAAGTAATAATATAAATAATTTATAAGCGCATTAACAAATATTTGCACTATTTTAACAGAAAAAACCACTAAAAAAATATTCGCCTATCGTTTAGCCCACTTGCAAGTACTAACCTGTGACGTGCCAAAATCTCAGGGGCGTATGGTAAAAGGCACCACAATACCCGGCTAGGTTACCCGTAGATATTCAGGGTAGTTTAGCTGCTATCACCAAGCCCTAACAAAATGTTGAATTCTGGGCGCCACGTGAATTGTGAATCTACGGTCCGGCTTGGTTACCGCAGCTGAACCAGACTGAACAGCACAAGGTGAGCCCCCAAATCACGAAAAAGCTCTGCCTGTTCTGCACCTCGGCACCTTCGCAGTGGGCTCAACTTCTTAAATGGGGCAAGAAAATGAAACTCTAAATTTAAGTGAATGAATTTAATTAGAGCTGGAAATAATATAACTAAATTACTAAGTACCTAATTCGGTGAAACTTGCTAAACCAATGTACAATATTAAAGCTCGACCAACTAAATTACGGGTGTATCAGGTGATTTTCCTCCGGTTGGAATTAAAAGGTGGGAGAAACTTAGTAAAGTGTGCACCAGGGGTATACAGAGCGCACGCGGAGAACAGGTACTGCAACGTGCGATAGCAGAGGTTATGTTCAAATAAATCGGGCTAGTGCCACTCATACGGGTGCGTCACAACAGGGGAGGGCCACTTATAGCATTAACAAAGTCCCATATAACTAACGGTACCTCACAAGCTTCATAGTTTCATGTCCCGTTGCATTACCGTCCTCGGCGTCCACCGCTCGCCACGTCCTAGCCCAAGTGTTTCTAGGCGGAATATGTATACAGTGCACGGGGCTCGGTCAATAAGTGGGTCACAGCTCACAATCCAACAAAAGCAAGTCCGGAGACAGTGCACTGGCTCGGTCAATAAGTGGGTCACAGCTCCACAAATCCAACAAAACCAAACCCGGACAAGCGGGACAAGCGGAAAAACCGGGAAGATAAAAAAAAACATAAAAATAAGCGTCTCTAGAAACACTACCCCCCTAACAGCGTAAAATTAGAAAACAGTGCCAGATTAGGTTAACCTACCTCGGCCAAGAGGGTTTTCTTAATGGGGGGACCAACGATGTCGGGTGCCCCTAGGAGTCTCTATCGGGAATTGGACGGCAGATAAATCCCCTCTCGGGAAACTTGTGCACCCAAGCAACAAGTCGCAATAGCCGCGGCGGAAGGCTCGATCCCCAAACTCGGTAAATTTCCAACCAATATTCCAATGACCTTCACCAGGCTTCTGCCGCCATCAAATCCATCGAGGAAAAAAGGAGTCCCAAAACCCCGTTCACCACCTTAAATATAAGTCCTCAGCCACAAAAAATTGGAGGGAATCGAGGCCTGAGAATAGGAACCGATCGAAAACTAGCAAAACAAAATAACCCTAGGCACAATACCAACCTAACACTTCCAAACCAATACTTCAGAATTCCGGAACAGAACTACTACGGACTTCGATAGAAAAATCTACTGCTTCGCTGTAAAGCAGCTTTGTATAACGTTGAAAAATGAAACCCATCAGAAATCAAATCCGAATTTGTAATTTTCGAGAACTATGCAACGATTATTTTACCAACCCACAGATGCCTCGCTAAGCCGCTAATCGGCGTTAGCCACGATCACTAAGGACTCTCGCCCAAATAATACGGCAGTCCTAATCTTTAATAAATTAATATCTTAAATACGCCAATAAAGGGTAATAATAAAACGGAACCGTGACAATCCAATTAAAACATTTCTCAGTTAATCAGGAATTAAAGTTATACAAACAGTTTGCCATAATGAAAATTTGTCCAAAAATTAATAAACATAAGTTGGGCAACTAAAGTATACAGAAAACAGCATAGCATCTAAATTTATGTAAATAGGCTTGAAAAGATTAAGTACACACTATTGCTAACTACTTTATTATTTATTGAAGCTAAAAAGGTTTTTCTAAGATTTCTTCCATTTGTTAAAGGCCCGCATATTTATGAATTGAAAGCTTTTTTAATATATAAAAATAATTATGACATTTTGCTAAACAAAAAATGGAAAACTTATGTGCCTGATTCACTTTTGTCATGTTTTCGGTGGACCGTAAGATAAAAACCAAAAAAAAAAAAATTCAAAGAAAAATATTATTTACACATCTTCTGGATTCGCCCTGAGTCGGTTGTTAACAAATAATTCGTCAAAGATTAGCTGAAACTAAGTTGCATTCTACTCTGTACTTGCTTATATACTGTTTGACGGGGGTAGAGTTAACGGAGGACATAAATATTACCTGGGACGAGTCGCGGTTAAGATTGTTTGATTGTCTAGAGATTTCTCTGATTTTCGCTTTTGGATTTTTCTTTAGTGAAGAAAATTATTACATACAGCTCCGATTTTGTGATTGTTTTCGCCAACTGCTGATGAGTTTTTTTTATCGTGGTCTTAAGGGTCTTTCATGTTTTTTTAGCTGTTAATATTTTTCGTCCTGTTTCTCAAATTCATGGAATTCTGTAAGCTCCTGGTACCTCAAACGGAATTTTGTCTCTGATTTGCTTTAACGTTATATTTTTATGATTTAACGTTTGATATCTCTAATGTGCAAAATATTAGAGAGAAGACCACATGTAATTCTGGGTTCAGTGACTCGGGTCGAGATAATTTTACAACACTGTAAACAAGAGACTTGATAACCGATGATTTTTGAACCGGATGATGATGACATTGAGTCTCATTTTTTTATAGAAATCCTACCCACATAGACAGATACATCATCATCCGATTCAAAAATCATGTGTCATCAACTGTCTTAGATAAGAACGGAAGACTATTATTAGTTTCTAATTCAATCGTAAAACGTATCTTAGGGCAAAGAAAATCTTTAGGATTACTTATGGATCATCATATGGATGGTGGAAAAGCCACAGATGTTCCCGAAGACCGAGTCAATGTTGAAACATTCCAGAATAACGTTTGGAACAAATGCAATGCTTTCTAATTGTTCAATGAAGTGAAAGTGTATGTATGTATGTGTCAGATGAATTAAAATCGGAGAATCTGCATGCCTGGAAGATGTTTTTCTTGAGTCAAATTCATGAACAAATAGGAGGGACAGCTATGGGTTCTCCATTATCACCAGTTATCGTGAATATATTTATGGAAGCGGTCTAGAAGATAGCCCTTGATCAAACTTGTAGGAACGCTAAGTGAATGACACTTTTGTTATTTGTTGTCATGGTCAAGAATCCCTCCGTGTAACCGTGTAAAGTTTATACACCTTTTTTCGGCGAAACATTCGATTTAGCTTCAGCTGACTCAGGTGGAATGTTTTTATCTTAAATTTCAGGGCAAGCTTGACAAAAGTGAAACACCTTAAACAATCTTAATTTTTGGTTTAGAAAAAAATCATCTCTAAGTCACAGAAAAATGTACCAAAACTTCACTAATTTAGTCGATCTCATAATTTCAACAATAAAGAAGTTAGAAATAGGCGCTCCTGAAAATGAAGAACAAATCTGTTTTAAATGTTACACTTGTATGGGAATGGAAAAAGTAAGGAGGAAAGAGTTTTTCTCTTATTTATAACATCACATAAAATATGCAATTGGAATATCAGGCAAACAAATTGAGTATGTCATTATAATCAGATTTTGTCTAAGTTATTCTTTATGTAGTTCAGTTAAAAATCTACTTTAAAATTGCTATCTTCACGAATCTTCAAACAAAAAAAACAAAATCTCCTAAAACTTTTCGTCGTTAACAGAAATATATTACTAGGTGTATATGTAGTTTGCGTTTTATTTATTTGTGATTCCTTTGTTATAGAATTGCGAATTAAAGTAACAATATGTAATTCTTATTTGCAGGAAAATGTTGGTGTCTACTGTCGCAATCCATCCATGTAAGTAATCCGTCGACTATGTTAACATTGTTCAGAAACCTTATTGTCGCGTCCAATTTTTATCTCCTTCCGTTCGATATTTCACATTGTTCAACTCCATATTCCCCAGAGCTATAAATAGGTATCAAAGATAGCAAGACAAAACGTTTTCGTTCTAAAAGAAATATCTTCAAGGCATTGCTCAAGTTCTTATTTCGAACATGTCACTTAAAGTTTAGCTAAAATATAATGCGGCCGCACTCTCTGTTTGTCGAGAGGTCAAAAAGTTAAGCTTCGAGGGAACTGTTCTATATGCGAGTTTTTTTATATCGCAGTTTAGTTTAGGTTTTTTTGTAAATCGTGATGCGGTACGTTTTCCTAGGGCGATCGACGGCAGTTACTTGCCGGGCCGCGTATTGTACGGAGTCGTGAGTAAACGGTTGCATTGTCGTGGTCGAGTTTCATTTCACGTTAAATGAATACATAACAGTGGCGCAGTCAGCACTCGAACCAAAATATTATTTAAAATGTCGACTTTTCTCGGGAACCTCGGTTCATTTGACTCGGAAAAGTCAGATTATGCAATTTTTTCCGAGAGACTTCAACAGTTTTTCGCCGCGAATGAGATAACGGATGAGGATAAAAAACGGGCAACACTTCTAAACACATTAAACGAAGAATGTTACGTTTTGTTACGAAATTTGTGCGTGCCGAAAACGCCGCCGGAGCTGAAGTTTGAAGAGTTAGACAAGTTGTTATTAAAACATTTTTCTCCCGTGCGTTCGTATTTTTCGGAAAGATCAAAATTTTACACAGCAAAAAAGGAGCCAAGTGAAAAAGTGTGTGATTGGGCGGCTCGCGTAAAAAATTTAGCAAGTTTTTGTGGGTTTGATGCCTCTATCACTCTCGACCAATTAATGAGGGATATATTCACGGTTGGCTTAAATGATGTGCGTTTTAGTGTCCGCTTATTTGAGGAAAATCCTCAAAGCAGCAAGTGCACCTTCCAGTTTATGGAAAAAATCGCATTGTCAAAGGAATCTGCATTTTTTGACCACGAAAAACGCACGTCGAAAGATACATCCACACAAATCAAAAGAGAACCAGAAGAGCTGTTTTATAACAATCAAAAACCAGGTATTTTTCGTCGGAGCAGGGGTAAGTCAAATTCAAGGACCCCCCAAAAGGAACTAAGATCGAAAACATCAAGTTTCCATTCTTGTTCAGTTTGTGGCCGTTCCAACCACAAATCGTCCGAGTGTGCCTACCGCAATTATTTTTGTCATAAATGCGGAGTAAAAGCATATTTAGCACCCTTGTGTAAGCAGAATAACGTGGGTCAAAATTTTCTAAAAGAAAACGCGCTCGAAAGTTTGGACGATAGCGACGATCCGTGCTTCATTATCAGTGATAAAACCTTGCAAGGTCCCACGAACATCACCCAGACGTCCGTACAAAATATGTTTCATAAGAAAACAGAAAATATCCATAGCAGTTCAATAAGTAACGAAAAACCTATTTTAATTAAATTAGAGATAGATAAAATGCAATTTAATTTTGAAGTGGACTCCGGTTTCGCCCACGTGGCAATTTCGGAAAAAATGTATAACAAACATTTTCAAAAATATCCGTTAATCAGTAATGATTTGTGTTTGAAAGATTATGTCGGTGTATCTTTTCAACCTTTGGGTTTTGTAAACTTAAAAATAACATATGATTGTCAAAATTACAACCTAAAAACGTATGTAATTAAGAACGGCGGGCCACCCTTATTAGGTCGCAATGGTCTGAAAATGCTAAATATCGGGCTTTGTAAATCAGTCGATAGCAATACCAGTTTATTATATGTAAATTCGGACGCCAAGTTGCAAAATTTATTAAAAAATTTCGAACCAATATTCAGCAGTACGCTACGTACATTCAATAAGTTCAAGGTCACGCTAAAATTAAAAGAAAACGCCACCCCAAAATTTTTTAAGCCTCGGCCGGTTCCAATAGCATTAAAACCGAAAATTGAGCAAGAAGTGGACCGGCTAGTCAAAAACGAGGTGCTAGTGCCCACAGAATTTTCAAAGTGGGCAACACCTATCGTCCCAATATTAAAAAAAAACGGCGGAATAAGGATCTGCGGCGATTTTTAAGGTGACCTTGAACCCCCAATTGGAATTTCAACAGTTTCCTCTTCCAAGAATTGAATACTTATTTAGCCAACTAGAGGGGGGAATGAAATTTTCAAAAATCGACCTTTCAGAAGCGTATCAGCAAATTTTGCTCGACGATCAGTCCAAAGAGTTGGTTACCATCTCCACACATAAGGGGTTGTTTTCTTATCAAAGATTGCCTTTCGGCATACACTGCGCGCCCTCCATCTTCCAAATAATCATGGAGCAATTATTTAATATTCCTGGCGTTATATCATTCCTAGATGACATTCTGGTGACAGGGAGAAACCATCTTGAGCATTTGGAACGATTAGAACAAGTCTTTCAAAAATTATCGGAATGTGGCTTCCAATTAAAAAAAAGAAAAATGTAGTTTCATGCAAGAATCTTTGACTTATATGGGTCATTTAATTGATAGGTTCGGCTTGCACAAAACCGATGAGAGGGTCGAAGCAGTGGTCAAAACCAAGGTACCTTCCAATATCACAGAACTTAAGTCATTTCTCGGGGGCGTCAATTATTATGTTAAATTCTTACCGAATGCGTCGCCCATCCTTTATCCTTTATATAGTTTATTAAAAAAAATCATCCCTTGGGAATGGACACCGGCTTGCCAAAATAGCTTCGATAAAATCAAGGATATGTTAGTATCTCCATCTGTGCTGGCCCATTTTGACCCAAAATTACCAATCAAATTATTGGTAGATGCCAGCAGTATAGGTCTAGGGGCAATAATTAGTCATACCTACACAGACGGAACTGAGCGACCCATCGCGTTCGCTTCAAGGTTGCTAAATAAAAACGAACTCTTCTATTCCCAATTCGAAAAAGAGACTATAGCAATAATATTCGGGGTCAAAAAGTTCTTCCAATACCTTTACGGCATCAAGTTCACACTGTACACACACCATAAACCTCTTTTGGCAATACTGGGCGACAAAAAAGGGTTGCCAGTTTTTGAAGCCAACCGCCTACAAAGATGGGCATACATTCTATCTTCATTCCGTTTCGAAATTAAGTATGTCAATACCAAACAAAACTACTTTGATTTCCTATCTCGGTTAGGGGGAAACACTAAAAATATGTTTCACCATGCCAGCAATCCGTTACTATTCGACTCGGGGAAACAAGATCAAATTTCATATTTAAATTACATCGAAAATTCAAAATTCCCAGTTAATTTCCAAAAGATTAAAGAACAAACCTCAAAAGATGTCGTTTTGAGCAAAATTATATTTTATGTTCGAAACGGTTGGCCACAAACTTGCCCCTCTACAGTTTTTAAACCTTATTTTCTTAAAAAACATGAAATTTCTGTAGAACATGGTTGTTTAATGTGGGGTTACCGTCTAATTGTGCCTCCAGTCTTCTATGACAGTATTTTGGGGGAATTACATTTAACTCATACCGGAATCGTTAAAATAAAAGCCTTGGCGCGTTCATGTTTGGTGGCCAAAAATCGACGATTCTATCGAGAAAATCGCGCGTTCATGCAAAACATGTGCACTTTATTCGGAAAACTCCGCGAAACCTTCTTTAATTATGTGGGATACTCCTAAAGAACCATGGACTCGTGACCACGCTGACTTTTTCGGACCATTTTTAAATAAAACAGTTTTAGTAATCGAAGATGCCACTTCAAAATGGCTAGAATGTTTCATAGTCTCAGACATATCTTCTGCACAAACCATAAAAATCTTCAGAGCTCTATTTGCTCGTTTTGGTCTCCCAAAAGAAGTTTCCACCGATAACGGTCAGACTTTTATGTCCGAGGAATTTCAAAATTTTTTGGCAAGTTTGGGGATCATTCACAAAGCGGGTGCTCCATATCATCCGGAAACGAACGGGCTGGCCGAATCAGGCGTCCAAATTGCAAAAAGAGCGTTACGCAAAGGTTATGCGGATGGGGTGACCGATTTACAACTTATTTTAGCAATACACCGCACACTACGACCCAAGAATGTCCAGCAAAAATGCTTTTTGGTCGCTTTTTACGCACTAGATTTGATTTAATTTTACCTTCGACCGAAAATATTGTAAAAGAAAAACAAAACAAAATAGAACTTAAGCGCAAAAAGAAAGGGGAAAGTATGGACCCGGGACTACCGTCTAAACACGGATAAAAGCAGGTGGTGTCAAGGGGTAGTTCGAGATATACTTGGCCGAAGAACTTACGTGGTTGAGTTGGTCGGTGGAGTCACATGGAAAAGACATTCAAGTCAGTTAAAAAAGTATCATTGTAACGACAAGTCTTGCCCCAGCAAGGAAAACTCCATGACAGCCCCAATAAAAAAACTCCTCGATGACTCCACCTTCCAACGTAACAAGAAACAGATCAAGTAATACTGTAACGTCAGTGAGGTCTAGCGATAGCGAAACATCGGACTCAGAAAGTCAAGACATTATCTCACCCAGTGAAAACAACCCCAGCGACAATGAAGTCTCAAGTGACCACGGTGCGCATGTGCTTCGTAGACGTAGTAAGATTAACCCTCCAGATCGTTTACAAGTCGCCCAGTAAACGTGACACTCATATCTAAATGCAAGTGTACATAAACACCACTAGAGTTAAGTTAGTTTCAGTTTATTATAGGGGGAAGGTGTTCTATATTCGAGTTTTTTTATATCGCAGTTTAGTTTAGGTTTTTTTGTCAACCGTGATGCGGTACGTTTTCCTAGGGCGATCGACGGCAGTTACTTGCCGGGCCGCGTATTGTACGGAGTCGTGAGTAAACGGTTGCATTGTCGTGGTCGAGTTTCATTTCACGTTAAATGAATACATAACAGGAACTTACGTTGTCGGGAAGTGTTTCTATAAAAGTAAAGGAAAAGCAAAATAAAATGGTGTGATATTGTTCT